ATTTGGAGCAATCCTGGAGGGAACCATAACTACCCCAGCGCACAAAGGAAAACATGAAAATACAAACCCCCACTGCAGGAAGGCTGGGATCCCCCTGTTTCCGAACCGTGCCGACCGGATTTCAACAGCCGTGCAAACACCAATAAACGTTCTTGCTGAGAAGCGAGAGAGCTAGCCACTCAACTGCCCGGTTTGCCTGGTACTGCCTGGTATGGGAAATCAGAGCACCTGGAGGAAACCTACTGAGACACTCAGAACATGTAAACGCCGCTCAAGGCAAGCCCCGTTCCGACCGGGATTCGAACCCAGGAACTCAGCCACCCTGATGCTTCAGGAGGGAGTTTCTCGGATGTCGGGAGATCAGCCGGACACACTGGACTAGCACCGGTCATTCAATAATTCTACCCTCGGTCTGATTAACACCACTGCTTAAGGCTTTGATCCTTTTTTTCTTTTTAATTCTAGGGTTGTTAAATACACCATGCTGTCCCAGAGTAATCCGGATGAGGTTAAGACGGTACCGGTCCTCACACGCCGAAGGATAATGACCTTGTAATCAGTGCAAGCGGCGCTCTCGAAGGCGTCAGGGCTCTCTCATCTTCTGCCTCACGTCTTGCTAAAACGTCTCATTGTCGTTGGAGTGGACCGACGTGGTCATCTGGACTCCTCAGAACGAGAGAGAGATGGGAATTACGACGCTTTATCACAGAAACAGCTGCTTTGGTGCCGCTCAGAGGAAGTGGGCAGTGTTCTTACGGCAGCTGAAAACAAGACTATTTTACGATTTGACTTTTCAAATCAGTCAGGAGAGAGATATGCATACACAAGTTGTTTGATGCAAGGTTAAACATTTCTGCTGGGATAATTTAAGTAGTTTCAAATTTTAGGAAAGAATCGCTTGACAGTTGGGAGGACCAAGAGTCTTGATGATCCACCCGGAAGTAGAAAATCCACTATAAATATTGATTCTGTCTACTAAAAGTTGTGGATTCGCCAATAAATTGTGTAAATTCTATTCAAAGACGATTTTGCTGAAATAGGGATGACGATTTATTTGTATGGCGCTATAAATACATACAATACAATAAAATTACAGCACATTACTTAGATACAAGCAGATTTTAAACCTTTCAAATATGGTTTTGTATTTTCTTATCTGATACGAAAGGAAATGTGCTTGACAAAAAAGAAAGGGCCCAAAATACAATTTAGCAAAAACGATGTAGTTTAAGAAACAAGAATCCACAAAACCAGAACAGATAGAGAGCAGAGAGAGAGACCAGTGAGAGAGACCAGCGAGAGACATAGCATAGAAAGAGAGAGAGAAGAGAGAGAGACCAGACAGAGAGAAAAGTGAGAGAGCAAAGAGAGAGAGACCAGACATAGAGACAAGAGAGAGAGAGCAGAGAGAGACATAGCATAGAGAGAGAGAGAAGAGAGAGAGACCAGCGAGAGAGACATAGCAGAGAGAGAGAGAGAAGAGAGAGAGACCAGCGAGAGAGACCAGAGAGAGAGACCAGAGAGCAAGACCAGAGAGCGAGACCAGAGAGAGAGACCAGAGAGCGAGACCAGAGAGCGAGACCAGAGAGCGAGACCAGAGAGAGAGCAGAGAGAGACCAGAGACAGAGCAGAGAGAGAGACCAGACAGAGACCAGAGAGAGCAGAGAGAGAGACCAGATGGAGAGAGTAACCCTCTGAAGTCACGACAAGCTCCTGTTTCGCTTCCTTCCAACCTTTTCAAAATCACACAACACCAATTAATACAATGACAATAAACAGTCACTCAACAAAGCTTTGAACCCCAAACCAAACCTTTCCCAATAATCCCGGGTAAAGTCCGGACTAATCCCGACCAACGGCGAGAGTCCACAGCCATGTCATAGCCAGATATTCAAACACACTGTCTGTCCTCGTCTGTCCCGTAATCCCACAGTCGCGGCGCTTTCCGTGTCAGATATAATTGTCGGAATCGTCGAGAAGTCATGGAGCAGTTTGTGTTTTGTTCCGTGTTTGATTCGTGATACATTGTAACTTTGATCTTGACCCCTTTTCGCTAACAGCCACTCGGCGTGTCACCATCCGCACTCCTCACAGAGCCACTGGACGGAGGAAAAGGGACTGGAACTGCCCAATTATCTCGCCTCCACCTCCGGTAAACAAGACGCGGCTGTCAGAAGATGCGTTTTGGGGGAAATGGGAGGTGAATTTTTTGAATAATCAGAAGTTGCGGCGAGTCGGCGGCGCTTTCAAGTCCGGGAAAGACATGTTTTGGAGAAGATCCCTGTAAGAAGTAACTTTTTCGAAAGAGAGAGATGCATTCAAGCGAAGGGAAATCTTACAAATAGTGAGCTTTTGTGTTTGTGTTGGTTCGGTTGGAAATTGTTGACATGGTGGCTAATTAAACAGCACCAATAATGAGCAAGTTGTGCGTCCTGGTCCATGTAAAAGCTGATAATTGTGGTTTCTCATGGAGGATATAGCTATACTTTATTCATCTATGTCTATTCTGATATTTCTAATCATTATCTGGACAACGTGGGTTGTCCAGATAGACCAGACATCCTGATCTACAGCCTCAGTCCTGGGTCTACAGCCTCAGTCCTGGGTCTACAGCCTCAGTCTTGGATCTACAGCCTCATTCTTAGGTCTGCAGCCTCAGTCCTGGGTCTACTGTCTCAGTCGGGGATCTACAGCATCAGCCCTGGATATACAGCCTCAGTCCTAGGTCTACAGCCTCAGTTCTGGATCTACAGCCTCAGTTCTAGGTCTACAGCCTCAGTCCTGGGTCTACAGCCTCAGTCTTGGGTCTACAGCCTCAGTCCTGGGTCTACAGCTTCAGCCCTGAATCTACAGCCTCAGTCCTGGATCTACAGCATCAGTCCTGGGACTACAGCCTCAGTCCTGGATCCACAGCCTCAGTCCTGAGTCTACAGCCTCAGTCCTGGGTCTACAGCCTCAGTCCTGGATCTACAGCATCAGTCCTGGATCTACAGCCTCAGTCCTGGATCCACAGCCTCAGTCTTGGATCTACAGCCTCAGCCCTGGATCTAGAGCCTCAGTCCTGGATCTGCAGCGCTGACTTAAATGCTGAAATAATTCTTTACTCTTCAAACTTAACCACATTTTTCCCCCCGAAGAATATGTCATATTTTAAATAATGAAATTGGTATAACAGGGTTGTATCTGTATCATCGGGCAAGACATGGCAAGTTTATCTGTATAGCACAGTTCATCCACAAGGCAAATACCAGTACTTAATCAAAACAAGAGATAGAGAGATATAAAATCATATCTCAGTTGTTGATACTGTTTTTCTCCTGGATTCGAAAATTGTCCTAAAAAAACAGCTTCAGACCCTAGTTTTACAGTAGGTACCATCACATTTCCAACTCTTTTGGGACGAAACACATGTTTTTCTCTGTCGTTAAACCACCTCCCTCCTACTTCGAACCTATAGTGTCAAGAAACAGATCCCGTCCCCTTTTCCGTGCAGAATAACCTCTTTATTCGCAATTAATCCGCAACAGCTTTGAGCTCTGACTTCAATTTAGCACAGAAGCCGTTAAAGCCGTAGTTACTTAACCCCTTGGCCGTCCAAATGAACCAGACCTACATTCTGGCGAGATCACAGCCTCACTTCCAGGGAACGGTTGAGATGTCAATCGATGATGAGTTCTCGGTGACGTCTTACTGTTTTTAATGAATTTGTTGCAAGAGAGACGGGAGAACAGTGTCACGTATTTCTGTGTGTTAGCAAAAGATATAGGAGTAATCAAGTGGCAGGTCAAAGATTGCATATTAGAAAAAAAAGTGGCTAGTGGTTTTTAGGTGTGCAAAAATACATGGAAAAAAACATTCTTCGATGGACATCAAATAAAATATATTCAATGACTTTAGTGCCGTTTTTGTGAACACTGGTCCTTTGTCTATCGTGGGGTTTATGTGTTCTAAAAATAACCGTCAAAAAGTGAAATCCTTGAAGTTAAACCCTTTTCACATTGTAAGCAAAGTATTTAAAAAAGAATCAAACATCACTCTGACAGTTTCACTGCATCTGGTTCTGACTAAAGAACTGCTGCTATGTCTGTTGTGTTGTTCAAAGTAGAAATAATCAAAACTCACGGTGGTTGAGGTTAAAAAATTATGTTTTTATTTCTGAATTATTTCTTTTTCTATTATACATGTTTTTAGTTGTAGGGGAAACCGGAGTACCCGGAGGAAACCTACGCAGACACGGGGAGAAAATGCAAATCCACACAGACAGGTACTGGGGGACCTTCTCACTGTGAGGCACAAGTGCTAACCACAGTGCCACCGTGCCGCCCTCACAGCGTCTGTCTGACCCCACATGTTCTCAGCCCAAAGAGCTTGGTCTTGAGCAGAACTTCAGCTCAGAGCTTGATCTCATGGTTTTAACCAAAACATGGAACACGTCCTCATTTTGTTCATTTCATTCCTCATCTCACCTTGAAGCAGCTGTCAATCACACTTTACTGAAGGGAAAGGCCCGCCCCCTCCTCTGTGAGACCTACAGCTGCAAACAAGGTTCAAAGTGCAAATGAAATGAACAGAATCTAGATGTGTCCATGAACAAGGTTCAGACCATGAGACCAAACCAGAGTCTGTCCCAGTCTCCTCCAGACCAGACTGAAAGGACCTGAACATGTGGTGTCAGCAGCTCTTCTGCTGCCCTCATCCTGTCTGCTCAGACCCAATGATGAAAATGTCAAGGTCAATGTCAAGTTTATCTAAATAGCATATTTAAGATGCCAAAAGCCCAAAGTGCTTTAAAAATGGTCTAAAAACAAAATAAAAACAAAACATTTAAAACAGGCAAAAAACAGAAATGTGAAAAGAGAGATTCAGCTCAACGCAAGTTAAAAGGCCAGTGAAAAGAAATGGGTCTTAAGAAGGGATTAAAAAGGATCCAGTGAATCAGCGGCTCTGACCCACGGTGGAAAATTTTTCCAAAGCGTTTAAGTTCGTGGACCATGTGGCGCTTACCAGGTGGTTGCAGCCTCAGGGATTTTCCCGTGGACCCTGAAGTTGTACAGACAGGTGTAGTCCTCCAGGCCATGGTTGGTCAGGACCTCAAGCTTCACAAACCTGAAGATGTTGGAGGTGTGCTCCTTGATCTCAAAGGTCTGGAATGAGTCTCCGTCAGACTCGTACTGGAAGGTCCCCAGGTGGACCTTGGGTCCATCCACTTCCTCCAGTCCATAAAGGGCGAAGGCCTTCGGAGCCGACAGGATCTCCCCTGTGACCGACTGCTCTTTAGAGATGTGCCCCACAGTGATGTGAGACACATGGATCTTCTGAGACAGGGCCACAAACAGCTCTCCTGTCTGGCCAGAGAAGGCCCAGCAGTGCCCAGGTACCAGAGGGTAATACTGGCCTTTGATCACCTCCCATGGAGAGTAAGGTGTCAGCCAACTGGGAGAACCCTTTTGTTGGTGGGTGCTGGAGCTGAAGGCGGTTAGGACCTGAGCTCCATGCGACGCCAACGCAAAGTTCCCCCAGAGGGTGGCCTGAGGGTGCGCCATGGTCTGCAGACGTCCCAGATCCTGCTGGAGATGATGCAGCTCCTTCCTCAGGCTTCCAAGGTTTACCTCAGAGACCACCAGGGACGTCAGGGAGAAGAGGAGCTTCAGGAGCAAGCCCCAACTGAACCAGTTGAACCAGCGCCAAGACCTGGTCTGTTCAGACCTCTGGACTGGCTCAGACCTCTGGACTGGCTCAGGCCTCTGGACTGGCTCAGGCCTCTGGACTGGCTCAGACCTCTGGACTGGCTCAGGCCTCTGGACTGGCTCAGACACACGGACCTGAGGGGGTCTCACCTGGTCCTGGGGGAAACTGTGACGTTGAGTCCCAGTGGAGTAGGAGATGCGGGGGCTGCCGTCCACATCGTAGTACCCCGCATTCTCAAGTCGTGCACTTCGGCGCGCCATTCTAAAATGTACCAACAATATTTGTCAAAGTAAAGGATATTAGCGCTGAGCTGAAGTCTCTCTGACCTGAAGTCTCTCTGACCTTAAGTCTCTCTGACCTGAAGTCACTCTGACTTTAAGTTGCTCTGACCTGAAGTCTCTCTGATCTGGAGTCTCTCTGACCTGAAGTCTCTCTGACCTGAAGTCTCTCTGACCTGTAGTCGCTCTGTCCCAGGCTGGAGTCACAGTATCTTGGAGTACATTTGAACAAGTCCATACAAGTTTGAACGAGTGATTTAACCCATAGGTTAAATCAGATTCCCTTTATGACATAACATTTCCATGGCAACCAGGTAGAATGGATTTCTATTCCATATGTTCTTGTTGCCATGGTGACCTCTGGAAGCCACTTCCAACAGCATTTTGAGTTAAACTGAGGGCCTACTAACTTGGTTTATTATGACTGAGAATATTACAGATGATAATATCAGGTAAATACAAACATCTGCAGAGGGTCCTGTTGTAGTGAGAGTTTGACACAAGTTCATGTTCTATGAATGCTAATGCTAATATGCTAAGACACAATTCTTCAGCTTTTTAAATAAAAAGATCTTTGATAATGCATACTGCACAGAGCAGGGTCTGTGTAAAAACGAAATATTAAAGCACTGGAACTATTTGATCAAGATAATTTGTATTTTATTCACATTTTTGCGGTTTGTTTTTGTGTTTTGACGACATGTTCAAAACCCTGACATATTATAGAGAGAGTATATAGACCATGAATTATTATACAAGAAGTTTTAACCAAAGCACCTTCACTTAACCTTCAGGGAAAACTGGAATATATCTTGTTTGGGCCTTGACGCCATGAGCCACTTCTCAGTCCTGCTCAAAACAAAAGTAAAAAAAATAAAGAAACAGATGAAAAATGAACAAAAGCGTTAATCACAAAGACGGCGGCGTGTCACGGAGACGCCTTATCACCAAAGCCTGCCGCATCTTCAGCCAGAACCGCCGAAAAACACAAATTGCTTTAATGACTTCTCTTTTTTATTCTGCCTTAATCTGAAACAAATGCGAGGAGAGGAGGGGTGAGGAGGGGTGAGGAGGGGTGAGGGGAGGGGAGGGGGGGGGGGGGTCATCGGGACTGAGGCTTTTTGGCCTTTTTGTTGTGGCGGCTTTCAACTCACTTTGGTTCAATCGTCATTTAACGCCACTTCGGACACAGTTGTAAATTATTCATTCTCAACAAGCCTCGGATGAAAAGGGTGGGGGGGGGGGGGGGGTGGAGCGAGGGGTGATCTTATGTTTTATTTTTATATTTTCACGATGTTTTGGATCGTCCTATTATCAAATGTCTCAGGGAGGATTGGGACGATTGCAGATTGGCTGTAGATCCAGGACTGAGGCTGTAGATCCAGGACTGAGGCTGTAGATCCAGGACTGAGGCTGTAGATCCAGGACTGAGGCTGTAGATCCAGGACTGAGGCTGTAGACCCAGGAGTGTTTTTGTATGCATCCGTCCGGATTTTTATAACTAGGAAAAGATGATTTCGGTGGTCTGGATCTGATAGGTGTCTGCGCAACAAATTGGTGGATAATGGTTTTGGGCTTTTATGGAAACTCGAGGTTTGTATTATGAGGAAGATGAAACAATTTAATATAGAGAGAAAAAACAGCGTGGGAAAACACACACGCCAAGACCTCAAAGACCTCAGACAAAAAGGGGATTCTTGGACAATGAGATGGAGTCAGATTGTCTGCATTTATTACCTGGGAATAAAACTGTACTTACAACAAGAACTAGTATTTATAACTTGGTAATAACAAAAAACAAGATAGAAATGAAAAAAACAATATATATAAATCCAAATAAATATTGTTTTCCAAAAATCACACAATGCATTGAAATCTCAAATAATCCCAGTCATTAAAATGTTTTGTTGCAAAACTGTTTTTAACATGGATTTGAACATTGTCAGAGAAGAAACCTGTCTACATTTTTCAGGAAGACTGCTTTAGATTTTTGTAAAAAGCTGCATGCCCATGTTCAGTCCAGGAAGCCAGTCCCTGTGCTACTCAGAGTCCCATTATGAGGCTAGTCCCTGTGCTCCTCAGAGTCCCACTATGAGTCCAGTCCCTGTGCTCCTCAGAGTCCCACTATGAGTCCAGTCCCTGTGCTCCTCAGAGTCCCAGCAGTAGGTCAGTCCCTGTGCTCCTCAGAGTCCCAGCAGGAGGCCAGTCCCTGTGCTCCCCTGAGTCCCAGCAGAAGGTCAGTCCCTGTGCTCCTCAGAGTCCCATTATGAGGCTAGTCCCTGTGCTCCCCTGAGTCCCAGCAGGAGGCCAGTCCCTGTGCTCCTCAGAGACCCAGCAGGAGGCCAGTCCCTGTGCTCCTCAGAGTCCCAGCAGAAGGCCAGTCCCTGTGCTGTGTCCCTGTGCTCCTCAGAGTCCCAACAGGAGGCTAGTCTGTGTGCTCCCCTGAGTCCCAGCAGGAGGCCAGTCCCTGTGCTCCTCAGAGTCCCAGCAGAAGGCCAGTCCCTGTGCTCCTCAGAGTCCCAGCAGGAGGCCAGTCCCTGTGCTCCCCAGAGTCCCAGCAGGAGGCCAGTCCCTGTGCTCCTCAGAGTCCCAGCAGTAGGCCAGTCCCTGTGCTCCTCAGAGTCCCAGCAGTAGGCCAGTCCCTGTGCTCCTCAGAGTCCCAGCAGGAGGCCAGTCCCTGTGCTCCTCAGAGACCCAGCAGGAGGCCAGTCCCTGTGCTCCTCAGAGTCCTCAGTTTTATCATATGGCACTAACATGTCGTAGATGTACTTTTAACAGTTTGAAAATCCAGCTTTAACTTCTTTTGGGATGTAAACTTTATGAATGTATTATTCTAAAAGTGTATTATTTTCAGCGTCAGGTTTCGGGCCCAGACAGATTCACTTCTCACGTTGGGATCCTGAGACCGGGACTGGACCACCTGAGGAGACCTGAGTCAGCACACATCCGGCTGAAGGAGGATGTGAAGGGTCACGGCGACCAAACATCAGCAAAGTGAAGGAGGAGGAGGAAGAAGAAGAGGAGGAAGAAGAGGGGGAGGGGGAGGAGGAGGAGAGGGGAGGCAGAGGGCGGGAGGTCAGTGTCAGGACGGTGAGGAGATCCAGCTGCAGCAGTTACATGAGAAAAGTCCACTTACCTCTGGACTGGATACACTCCCCTCTCATTGGGCAAGACACTCAACTCACATCTTCACTATTGTCTTAAAACAAGCCGGGGTTTCTCACTCTCAAACCATAAATAACCATGTGTTACTGCACACTTTTCTAGTTCCTTGTCATCAAAACAATACTGCTTCCATCACTTGTTTGTGTGTGTTTGTGGTTTTAGTCACATGTTTAGAATAGCAAAAGATAGGAAAAAAGAGGGACCAGAGAGACTAGAGCGAGACTAGAGAGAGAGACTAGAGAGAGACCAGAGAGAGAGAGACTAGGGAGAGACCAGAGTGAGGGACTAGAGAGAGACCAGAGCGAGGGACTAGAGAGAGACCAGAGAGAAACTAGAGGGATGGACCAGAAAGAGACCAAAGAGAGACCAGAGCGAGAGACAAGAGAGAGACCAGAGAGAGAGACAACAGAGAGAGAGAGACTAGAGAAAGACCAGAGTGAGAGACTAGAAAGAGACCAGAGAGAAAGACTAGAGATAGACCAGAGAGAGACCAGAGAGATAAAGCAGATGAGACCAGAGAGAGAGCAGAGAAAGAGATTAGAGAGAGGCTAGAGAGATAGACTCAAAGGAGAGACCAGAGTGAGAGAGAGAAACCAGACACAAACCAGAGAGACTTGAGAGAAACGAGAGAGACAAAGAGGCCAGAGAAAGAGACCAGCGAGAGACAAGAGAGAAACATAAACACAAAATTACATGAAGTTCATTCTGCTTATCGTCATTATTTGACAAAAACAATCCATTAAATGTGTCTTTTGAACAATACGTCAAAATTACAGATCTGTTATGTTATTTTTTATTTTTTATTCATCCAAACCTCTTAAAACATAACTCAGCTCAGTCTGCCCACTCAAACATCAGCCCACATCAGCCTATGTCGGCCCACGTCTGCCCACTCCCCACATCAAAAACATGAAAAGTAAAAGACAGGGACCAGAAAGATCAGAGTGAGAGCCCAGAGAGAGACAAGAGAGAGAGACTAGAGAGAGACCAGAGAGAGACCAGAGAGAGGGACTAGAGAGAGACCAGGGAGAGAGACTAGAGAGAGACCAGAGAGAGACCAGAGAGAGGGACTAGAGAGAGACCAGGGAGAGAGACTAGAGAGAGACCAGAGAGAGACCAGAGAGAGGGACTAGAGAGAGACCAGGGAGAGAGACTAGAGAGAGACCAGAGAGAGAGAGACTAGAGAGAGACTAGAGAGAGACCAGGGAGAGAGACTAGAGAGAGACCAGGGAGAGAGACTAGAGAGAGACTAGAGAGAGAGACTAGAGAGAGAGACTAGAGAGAGACTAGAGAGAGACCAGAGAGAGAGACTAGAGAGAGACTAGAGAGAGACCAGAGAGAGACTAGAGAGAGACCAGAGAGAGAGACCAGAGAGAGAGACTAGAGAGAGACCAGGGAGAGAGACTAGAGAGAAATCAGAGAGAGAAACCAGAGAGAGAGACCAGAGAGAGAGACTAGAGAGAAATCAGAGAGAGAAACCAGAGAGAGAGACCAGAGAGAGAGAGACTAGAGAGAGACCAGGGCGAGAGACAGAGATAAATCAGAGAGAGAAACCAGAGAGAGAGAGACCAGAGAGAGAGATCAGCGAGAGATCAGAGAGAGAGAGACTAGAGAGAAAGTAGAGATAGACCAGAGAGAGAGAGACTTGTTTTGTTATTTTTGATGTTTTTAGTCATCCAAACCTCTCGAAACATAACACTCAAACACATACCTGGCGTGACCGCACCTATCAGCCCCCATCAGCCCACATCAGCCCACATCAGCCCACATCAGCCCACATCAGCCCATATCAGCCCACATCAGCCCACCTCAGCCCACCTCAGCCCACATCAGCCCACGTCGGCACACTCCCCACATCACACACCGTGCCGGCTGGAAACCTATCAGGATGTCATTTCTCGCGCTGCGCGGTGGTGATCGACAGCCCGCCGCGCGCCGCAGACCCCAGATGCCGCGCCATACGGACGGCTAAATATATCATGTGTTTTTAAGAGTAGCGGCGTCTTCGCTCACAGTCTGACGATCGGCAGAAGCGGCGGCAGTGAGAGGAGAGAGGTGGAGGTTTGTGCGTCTTTGTCATTCGTCATCGCAACTGTGTGTAACTTCAGGTTGTTAGTTTGGCCTTGGTGTAATCACTTAATGTTCACTCCTTCAAGACAGCACTGAAGAAAAGAAAATGTTTTGATTGTCTAAGATGGAGACCATAAAGAGAGACTAGGGAGAGAGAGCAGAGAGGGACTAAAGAGAGACTAGAGAGAGAAGAGAAAGAGAGACTAAGAGAGGGCAGAGAGAGAGAGAATAGAGAGGGCAGAGAGAGAGAGAATAGAGAGGGCAGAGAGAGAGAGACTAGAGAGGGCAGAGAGAGAGAGACTAGAGGGAGAGAGCAGAGAGAGACAAGAAGAGGAACCAGAGAGAGAGACCAGAGAGAAACCAAAGAGAGAGCAGAGAGAGAGAGACTAAGAGAGGGCAGAGAGAGAGAGAATAGAGAGGGCAGAGAGAGAGAGACAAGAGAGGGCAGAGAGAGAGAGAATAGAGAGGGCAGAGAGAGAGAGACAAGAGAGGGCAGAGAGAGAGAGAATAGAGAGGGCAGAGAGAGAGAGACTAGAGGGAGAGAGCAGAGAGAGACTAAAGAGGAACCAGAGAGAGAGACCAGAGATAAACCAAAGAGAGAGCAGAGAGAGAGAGACTAAAGAGAGCAGAGAGAGAGAGAAAAAAACTGAGAGAGAGAGACTAGAGAGAGCAGAGAGAGAGAGAGAGGAACTGAGAGAGAGAGCAGAGAGAGACTAAAGAGGAACCAGAGAGAAACTAAAGAGAGACCAGAGAGAGAGAGAGAAAGCAGAGAGAGCAAGAGACATAATAATAATGCATCGGTTTTATATAGCGCTTTTTTTGACACTCAAAGACGCTTCACATGTCATTATTCATTCACGTTTTTTAATTATAACTAAAAGTAAAATTTTCTTTTCTGTATTTCATTTTTAAATACATCAAATAATCACATTTCCCCCGGGACCCTATAGCTTCATACAGTTAATAACAGCTGGATTTGCGACTGAAAATCCTTTGCCGTATTTGCCGGTGACGTACTGAGCTAATATTGACTTCATTTTAAACAAACAAATGCGCAGACATGAGCACACAACACGGAGCACAAACACTCCGCCAAACAAACATGCGTCCGCTATCGGTGAATATTAATAACCGGGACCGGGGGCACGGAAGGGGGGGGGGTCTAAAGTCTACCGTGGTCTACATAAGGAGATACTGGTCTGGTCGATCTTGGCCGTGCGATAAAAGCACATTTTCTTTCAATATTTTACCACTGTGGCCCTGTTTTTTTTAACCTATTGTCAACCCAGGACTGTATCAGGAAAGCTTGGGAGGGCAGAGAGAGAGAAACTAGAGAGAGCAGAGAGAGAGAGAAGAGAGAGGGCAGAGAGAGAGAGAAGAGAGAGAGCAGAGAGAGAGAGAAGAGAGAGGGCAGAGAGAGAGAGAAGAGAGAGAGCAGAGAGAGAGAGAGAAGAGTGAGGGCAGAGAGAGAGAGACGAGAGAGGGCAGAGAGAGAGAGAGAAGAGAGAGGGCAGAGAGAGAGAGAAGAGAGAGGGCAGAGAGAGAGAGAAGAGAGAGAGCAGAGAGAGAGAGAGAAGAGTGAGGGCAGAGAGAGAGAGACGAGAGAGGGCAGAGAGAGAGAGAGAAGAGAGAGGGCAGAGAGAGAGAGAAGAGTGAGGGCAGAGAGAGAGAGACTAGAGAGAGCAGAGAGAGAGAGAAGAGAGAGAGCAGAGAGAGAGAGAAAAGAGTGAGGGCAGAGAGAGAGAGACTAGAGAGAGCAGAGAGAGAGAGAAGAGAGAGGGCAGAGAGAGAGAGAAGAGAAAAGAGCAGAGAGAGAGAGAAGAGAGAGAGCAGAGAGAGAGAGAGAAGAGTGAGGGCAGAGAGAGAGAGACGAGAGAGGGCAGAGGGAGAGAGACGAGAAAGGGCAGAGAGAGAGAGACGAGAGAGAGCAGAGAGAGAGAGAGAAGAGAGAGGGCAGAGAGAGAGAGACTAGAGAGAGCAGAGAGAGAGAAACTAGAGGGAGCAGAGAAAGAGAGCGCAGAGAGAGAGAGAAAACTGAGAGAGAGAGCAGAGAGAGACTAGACAAAGCAGAGAGAGAGAGACTAGAGAAAGCAAAGAGAGAGAAAACTGAGAGAGAGAGCAGAGAGAGACTAGAGAGAGCAGAGAGAGAGAGAAAACTGAGTGAGAAAGAGAGCAGAGAGAGACTAGACAGAACAGAGAGAGAGAGAAAACAGAGAGAGAGAGAGCAGAGAGAGAGAGAAAACTGAGAGAGAGAGAGAGCAGAGAGAGAGAGAAAACTGAGAGAGAGAGAGAGCAGAGAGAGACTAGAGAGAGCAGAGAGAGACTTGAGAGAACAGAGAGAGAGAGAAAACTGAGAGAGAGAGAGAGAGCAGAGAGAGACTAGAGAGAGCAGAGAGAGAGAGAGAAAACTGAGAGAGAGAGCAGAGAGAGACTAGAGAGAGCAGAGAGAGAGAGACCAGAGACAGACAAAAGAGAGCAAAGGGAGAGAGCAGAAAGAGACCAGGAACCAGAAAGAGAAAAGCGAGAAACCAGGCATCGGAGAGAGACGAGAGAGCACATAGCGAGACCAGAAATAGACCAGGCACCAGAGAGAGACAAGAGAGAAACCAGGCATCGGAGAGAGACCAGAAATAGACCAGGCACCAGAGAGAGACAAGAGAGAGCACAGAGAGAGACCATAAATAGACCAGGCACCAGAGATAGAGAGAGTCCAAAGAAAGGGAAGAGCGAGAGACCAGGGAGAGAGACCCGACAGTGGGAGTCCTCTAAACTGATCACTGCGGTGAAAACAACCCACAATAGTTTTTCTTCGTACTTTAAATACAGATGACTATCATGTGATACCAGCAGTTCTCTGATGGTAAATACGGCATTGCTGGTGTGTCTTCCCGATCCCACACCGAGGCCTTCCTGGTATTTACCCTGGCACTAATTGCACTTCCAGCGCTCTCGCCTCTTCGTCTCTCTCTCGTCGCGTCTGTTGTGACACGCCGTACCCAAACCCCGGCTTCGCTAACCCACCGTTTCTCTGCTCCAATCTGCCCCAATTATAAGTGCTGGGCTCGGGGGGTGTCAAGGTGCACCTCACACCTCTGTCGGAAGGAGGTCCTGTCTGCACCTCCTCAAAGCTGTGGACGGACGTGACAGCGGCGTGAAGGAGTGAAGCAGTGAAGGAGTTCATTAAGGAGTCATCCCCGGGTTCTTAAAGGTTACGCCGGAGGTGAGAAGCACTTTTGGACATGTCTGAGGGAGCGATGTGAAAAAGGGAAGAGGAGGTGGAAGAGAGAGAGAGAGGAAGAGGAGGTAAAGGAGAAGGAGAAGCAGAAAGAGGTGAAGGGGAGGTAAAGGAGAGAGAGGAGGTAAAGGAGAAGGAGAATGAGGAGGTGAAGGAGAATGAGGAGGTGAAGGAGAAAAAGGTGAAGGGGCGGTAAAGGAGACAGAGGAGGTGAAGGAGACAGAGGAGGTGAAGGAGAGAGAGGAGGTGAAGGAGAGAGGAGGTGAAGAAGACAGAGGAGGTGAAGAAGACAGAGGAGGTGAAGGAGAGAGAGGAGGTGAAGGAGACAGAGGAGGTGAAGAAGAGAGAGGAGGTGAAAGAGAAAGAGGGGGTAAAGGAGACAGAGGAGGTGAAGGAGAGAGAGGAGGTGAAGGAGAGAGAGGAGGTGAAGGAGAGAGAGGGGGTGAAGGAGAGAGAGGAGGTGAAGGAGAGAGAGGAGGTGAAGGAGACAGAGGAGGTGAAGGAGACAGAGGAGGTGAAGGAGACAGAGGAGGTGAAGGAGAGAGAGGAGGTGAAGGAGACAGAGGAGGTGAAGGAGAGAGAGGAGGTGAAGGAGAGAGAGGAGGTGAAGAAGACAGAGAAGGTGAAGGAGAGAGAGGAGGTGAAGGAGACAGAGGAGGTGAAGGAGACAGAGGAGGTGAAGGAGAGAGAGGAGGTGAAGGAGAAGAGGAGGTGAAGGAGACAGAGGGAGGTGAAGGAGAGAGAGGAGGTGAAGGAGAGAGAGGAGGTGAAGAAGACAGAGAAGGTGAAGGAGAGAGAGGAGGTGAAGGAGAGAGAGGAGGTGAAGGAGAGAGAGGAGGTGAAGGAGAGAGAGGAGGTGAAGGAGAGAGAGGAGGTGAAGGAGACATAGGAGGTGAAGGAGAGAGAGGAGGTGAAGGAGACAGAGAAGGTGAAGGAGAGAGAGGAGGTGAAGGAGACAGAGGAGGTGAAGGAGAGAGAGGAGGTGAAGGAGAGAGAGGAGGTCAAGGAAAGAGAGGAGGTGAAGAGAGAGGAGGTGAAGAGAGAGGAGGTGAAGGAGACAGAGGAGGTGAAGGAGAGAGAGGAGGTGAAGGAGACAGAGGAGGTGAAGGAGAGAGAGGAGGTGAAGGAGACAGAGGAGGTGAAGGAGAGAGAGGAGGTGAAGAAGACAGAGGAGGTGAAGGAGAGAGAGGAGGTGAAGGAGACAGAGGAGGTGAAGGAGACAGAGGAGGTGAAGGAGACAGAGGAGGTGAAGGAGAGAGAGGAGGTGAAGGAGAGAGAGGAGGTGAAGGAGAGAGAGGAGGTGAAGGAGACAGAGGAGGTGAAGGAGAGAGAGGAGGTGAAGGACTGAGACTGTAGACCCAGGACTGAGACTGTAGACCCAGGAGGACCAGTTCACATGTAATGGTCTGTGAGAAACCAACAGACCTGTCCTGGAACCATAAAAAGATAATTTTGTCGAGAACCAAAAACCTTCCTTGGACTTGGGCCACAAAAACACCGACATATCCAGACCCAAACGATTCTATCCATCCCTAACGTGTCTCTGACCAAAAACATCTCACACACACTTTAATTATAGAGCGCGGTCTCGTCTCCACATCTCGTTCTTGTAACTTGTGGAACATTCCGGGCGTTTTTCTTAATTCACTTTGGATTGACAGCGGCATGAATATTCCAACACTAGAGTCGCTCAGACGGTCTGTGGAGGTCCTCGAGCCGCACAATTGTCTGGATCTGCTGTAAATATGTGATAATTGTGGACTCGGGCTGTAAATAATGTGTGTGTTTGAGCTTCGGGGACTTGGACTTCAGTTTCTCATGAGAAGAATGAGAGCCACACTTTAGAGCAGCCTCCTCTCCTCATTAAACAGCAGTAAATCCAGAGAAAGACACGCACACAAACACACAGGCATACACACACACACGCATACACACACACACAGGCATACACACACACACACACACACACACACACGCACACAAGCTTACACACACACACATATATATACACACACACACACACACACACACACACACACAGGCTTACACACACACACACACACACACATATATATACACACACACAGGCATGCACAGACACACATATATATATACACACACACAGGCATACACACGCACACACACACACACACACACACGCACACACATACACGTACACACATATATACACACACACACAGGCATGCACAGACACACATATATACGCACACAGGCATACATACACACGTACGCACACATACATACACACGAACACACACACACATACACGTTTTTGTTACCTGGTGGGTCCCTTTGACAGGGCCGTTCAGAATGGGACCCATAGACATAATCTTTTTTTACTGGGACTACTTTAAGTAATACAAAACAGTCAATAGAAACCAAACAACTATTTTAAAGGAATTTTATTTTAGATTTTGTTTTCGAATTGCAGTGATTCTATTTTTGACATAGAATTTAATGCCACTCCATGTCCGATGTCTAAGGTCATCTGGTGAGGCATTAATGCAGGCCAGGCAGTGAGACTTCCCAGGGACCTTTCCAGTCTGTATGAAAGGTGTCATGGTCTTCTCCACAGCCTTCACCTCAGATGCAGACCATGGCTTTCTTACACGTTCTAGGGAGAGAAATAAAAATATATTAGCAATATACACTCCCAGGGTTAGGACCAAGCAGCCTGGCTGTAATCCCCCACCTGGTACACTTACCAGAAGGGGCACTGCCACTACCATGGGGTGCATCTGGATGAATGGTTGAAGGTTCTCCGCTTGAAGTTTCTTTTAGCCCGTCCGTTTGTGAGAGGATCTCTACTGCTCTCCCTGTCGCACAGAAAATAAAAATACAAGTGGCCTTTAGGGGAAAAAAATCATACATATTTTAATAATATCAAGAATTACCTTCAGGCTCAATTTGTATCTGGTCGAGGCTCTTTCCTTCGAATTCCGTCACTCTTCCCTGCTCCATGGCCATCAACACTTTGCTGATTTTGGCCAGCTCCAGTGTCCCCTCTGGTAGTCTGTAATATTGCCTGTGGATGCGAATGTCATGGCCGAGGAAGTTGGCAAGTATGTCCATCTCATTCTCTTTCATATTGAGAACTGTAGACATAGTAGCTATGTGCTTTCTAAGTTTGGTTGAGGATAGCATCTCTGGATGCACCGCACCACATTTCTTTGGCTACCTGCCGTAGGGAGTCTGATCCCCTGATGTGGGTGTCTGCGCCCGGGCGGGAAAAGAAGTATGGGTTATGGTCAGAGATGGAACAGGCCCTTCTGTTCTCCACCAGCACCTCCATCGAAGCAATCATTTCAGGAGTCAAAAGAACCGGCACTTTCCGACTTCTTTTCCCTTTAATTTCAATGCGTTGAAAATGCTGACACAGCTTTTTCTCAAGTTGGGACAGTCCCAGAGCAATGTCAGAATGGATCCCAGTCTTACTTCTTAAGGTAAAGGCTGTCAGTGGCATCTTTGAAACCTCACCTTCCCTTCTTCGATTGAAAATGATGACCTCACAAAGAGTCAAAACTGCCAGTTTAGACCAATGCTTAGACGTTGGCTCACTTATTAGGGTTTGCACATATTCAGGTCGACATACCTCAATATGTGCATGCATGGCTCTAACGTCCTCAGTCAGAGGGAGCAGGTCCGGAGTGTTCCACTTGGCTTGCCGGAGGGTCTGTAGGGCAGCAGAAGAAACACAGACGTCCCACCTCTTCTCAAAAAGCAGCCGGCTTCGTTGGAGGTTTTTAATAAATAGTTCATCAACACAATGCTCCATTTTTGAGTCACATTCAAGAATATCTGCTAGCTTTCTGAGGCTATGGCCGAGTTTGAGGGCCAAGGATGGAGTCTTGTATTGATTTGTTTCCTCATCATATCCAGCCACAGACCTGACTGCATCAATCACATGGTTAAAGTTAGAAGGAATAAAGAAATCCTTAATTGTTTTCAGTTTCCCTGCGGTTTTTGCTTCGTTAATTAACCTACCGACTTCTCTCATTTTCTGCCTAATGTAATCATGCTTAGTCTTATCATGCCCGTGTTTTAAGTACAGGTGCTCTCCGAGTCTCAGAATCCCCTTTTCTGCTTTGACAACACCCGTGACCTCATCCTGATGCATTGCCGAAATTAAAGACCACAGCTTTTTGCTGATGCCCTCCGGTACAGGCTGGGCTAGGGAGCAGAGGGACTGGACCCTACTTCTACCTGGTTTAGCCTGGGCATCTTTCTGTGAAAGCCGGCACCTGGCCACATGCCTCCACAGCGACTTTCGCTTAAGCAATGCCCCACAGTCTATACAGTGCAAAAACTCACTGGATTTAACTGGGGAATTTGGCTGTTTAGCTGGGACTAAAGTTCCAATGCCGGCCTTTAAAACCTCAAAATTGTGCTCACGGTTTCCACTATTCCTGATCAAATCAAACTGAAGTTTACGTGCTTTAGACTTCACAGGTAGAGCCAATGCTCTGACTACGTCACTTTCAGTTCCATGTTTTCTAGTCAAATGACGGGACATTTTGTGGCAGGACATTGAACAGTAGAGGCAGAAGTGTCTCTTGCTGTAAACCCTGCCCCCATTTTTCTTCTTGTGCAGCTGCATGATAACAATCTTATTTGCCTTTGGTTCGTCACTTTCCGAGTCTTGAAGAAAAGTGTTTTTGATTTTTCTTTTTCCATACTTTTTTACAGGTTTCTTCTTGACAGTTAAATCGTCAGAATCTGAGTCGACTTCATCAATTAGGGACTCTTGACTAAGCTGTACAAACAACAAATAATTTGTAATAATTCTATATAACAATTTGAAGTCATGACTTGTAGTCAGCACTTACCAGTGGGTTGTAAGCGTGCGCTTCAGTGTGCTCCTCCATGATGTCTTGCAGCCTAATGAACCACACACTTGCACCTTTTCACCTGACTTCCTCTGTTGTGCTGCTCCATGATTGGCTCCAGCCTGCTGGACTGAAATTGCCCCAGTGTGCCCCTCCCTGATATCCCGCAACCCACCACCAGGGTTCCGACACATAACACACTTTTTTCAGGAAAGTAAACCTCCAGGGGTCCTTTCCATATTTTTACAGAGACTGCATAAGGACCGTTAGAAAAGCATTACCCATTGATTATTAAGCTTGGACCAGTGGGGTCCGGTGTTCGGGCCCCACCACGTAAAACCAGTCCCCATGACGTGAGTGGAATCTCAGGTTTCGGAACCCACTAGGAGTTGAAAACAAGTGCAGGCATACATACACAAATACACACACATACATACCTAAATACACACACGCACAGGCATACATACAGTATAAACACACACACACACGTATATATACACACACAGACGCACATACACACAGGCATGTACACACACACAGGCATGTACACACAGGCATGCATACACACACACACACACAAATACACATACAGGCAAACATACACACACACAAACAGGCATACACACACGCAATCAGGCATACACACACCCACACACACACATATGGACACAAACACACATAGGCAGACAAGTTTCCAAAGTGCTGCAGAGACATAAAAGTGCCAAAATAAAAAGTGAAAATATAGAATAGTCAAAACAATTATAATGTGTACAGCAATAACAAATAATAAATAATAAAAACAAAAAATACTAGCAATACTGTACAAAAAAAACACAAAAAAACAGTGAATTTTAAACTGACGAGAGAGCAGACTTAGCGTGGGGGGTGAACGAGATTTTGATCTTGTTTTAAAAAGATACAGGATATATCTCTTTCTTGCGACATTTCTTGAATTAAAACTAAATCCCTTTGTCCCATTGGCAAAATTTGTCAGATTGTGCTCAAATTGGGTAAAAACCACTCGACTCAAGCATGTATTCTCTCATTATGTTTTCATTTTTTGCAGTGTAGCGCTAACAGATGTCTCGGTCTGTTATTCCCGAGCGTGTAAACTGCTGGGATTAAAGAATTATGTGCGATGACAGATTCTACCTCCACCTGCAGGTATCCCAGATCGGATTAAAGGCCGACGTGACGGGACTTTTCGGATCCGTGTCGTACCTGCAGCTCTGGCTTTGTGGCTTTTTGAGGTCTTTCACTGCGGGTTCAAGCTACAGAAAGAGAGCTAACGGAAAACTGACTTCTGAAAGCGCTTCAACGTGTTACGGGCGATGATACGAGTTGGCGTTTGTGGTACGCTCCGTCTGGATCTTGGCAGCTTCGACATTTTCCCGTCTTTTGTTCTCGGATCTGCTGCGAAGCCCGTTCCAGACATGTATGTAGCAACCGAGGGAGATTACAGACTGTATACTGCACTAGCCTAGCATTAGCATCCCTAAACTCTGTCCCATTGGCAAATATTTTTCACCAACTTTGAGAATTTTTTTTTCATCATTTAGAGCCTTTTAGACCCAATTGAGTGTATTTTTCTTCTACTTTTAATCATCTATGTCAGAGTAGCATAGTAGTCTGCCTCTTGTTTTGAATAAGTATCGTTCGACAAATTGTCCTGAATAGGCAGCTCTCTGCCCTTCATCCTGAATGAGAATCTCTCCTTCTGTCCTGAATAAGTAGCTCTCTGCCCTTTGTCCTGAATTTGTAGCTCTCTGGCTCTAGCCTTGAGTAAGTAGCTGTCTGTTTTTTTTCCTGAATAAGTAGCTCTCTACCCTTTGTCCTGAACAAGTAGCTCTCTACCCTTTGTCCTGAATGAGTATCTCTCTACTCTTTGTCTCGAACGAGTAGCTCTCTGCCCTTTGTCCTGAATAAGTAGCTCTCTGCCCTTTGTCCTGAATGAGTAGCTCTCTACCCTTTGTCATGAATAAGTAGCTCTCTACCCTTTGTCCTGAATGAGTATCTCTCTACTCTTTGTCTCGAACGAGTAGCTCTCTGCCCTTTGTCCTGAATAAGTAGCTCTCTGCCCTTTGTCCTGAATGAGTAGCTCTCTACCCTTTGTCATGAATAAGTAGCTCTCTACTCTTTGTCCTGAATGAGTAGCTCTCTACCCTTTGTCATGAATAAGTAGCTCTCTCCCCTTTGTCCTGAACGAGTAGCTCTCTGCCCTTTGTCATGAATGATTAGCTTTCTGCTCTTCGTCCTGAATGAGTAGCTCTTTACCCTTTGTCCTGAACAAGTAGCTCTCTACCCTTTGTCTTGAATGAGTAGCTCTCTACCCTTTGTCCTGAATAAGTAGCTCTCTGCCCTTTGTCCTAAATGAGTAGCTTTCTACTCTTTGTCTTGAATGAGTAGCTCTCTACCCTTTGTCCTGAACGAGTAACTGTATACCCTTTGTCCTGAATAAGTAGCTCTCTGCCCTTTGTTCTGAACGAGTAGCTGTATACCCTTTGTTATGAATAAATAACTCTCTGCTCTTCGTCCTGAATGAGTAGCTCTCTACCCTTTTTCCTGTTTAAGTAGCTCTCTACCCTTTGTCCTGAATGAGTATCTCTTTACTCTTCATCCTGAATGAGTAGCTCTCTTTCCTTTGTCCTGAACAAGTAGCTCTCTACCCTTTGTCCTGAATGAGTATCTCTCTACTCTTTGCCTTGAATGAGTAGCTCTCTGCCCTTCCTCCTGAACGAGTAGCTCTCTGTGAATCCTGTCACTGCTGCTGTCGTCCAACTCCTGCAGAGAACCATAGAATCCACTCAGATCACTTTGTTTCCAGGACAAACACATTAGATTAGATTATAACCGCTGTAGTGCACTGTGGGTAATCCTGCGGGGCGCGTGTTCAGGTGCGCGCCGGAGAGTGATGTGTTGTGCGGCGGAGAACGGTGAGCAGATAATCCGCTGATGTGTGTTGACAGCAATTCTCCGAGCGCTCTTGTACCTGCAGTGATGGGAGATCAGAGGCCCGTCGAGCGCTAACGTTTGCGCGCTAACAGCCTCGCCGACACATCCGTCTGGCAGAGAGAGCGCACGCAGGCCGAGGGAGCAGTGTCAGGTGTGCTGAAGCTTCGGCTTGTTTTTACAGAAGTGATGTCTCAATCCTGTCTGCCGTTTTTTTTTTTCTCCTCTTCTGGAAATAGCGGTGTGAGTTTGAGAGCTCGGCAATACAGGTACGACACGCTCACACGAGATCAAGCTGTTGGAATCGTTAGGACAAGGACTAGGAGTGGATTCTGAAACTGCTCGAACTCCCAGAGAGGGAGAGAGAGAGAGAGAGACCAGAAAGAGACCAGAGAGGGATTAGAGAGAGAACAGAGAGAGACCAGAAAGAGACCAGAAACTAGAGAGAGGGACCAGAGAGAGAGACTAGAGATAGACCAGAAAGACACCAGAAAGACCAGATAGAAATCAGAGAGGGATCAGAGAGAGAGCAGACAAGAATAGAGAGAGAGACCAGAGATAAACCAGAGAAGAATAGAGAGAGAGACCAGAAAGAGAGAGAGACTGGAGATAGACCTGAAAAGAATAGAGAGAGAGACTAGAGATAGACCAGAAAGATACCAGAGAGAGACCAGATAGAAATCAGAGAGGGATCAGAGAGAGAGAGCAGACAAGAATAGAGAGAGAGACCAGAGATAAACCAGAGAAGAATAGAGAGCGAGACCAGAAAGAGAGAGAGACTGGAGATAGACCTGAAAAGAATAGAGAGAGAGACTAGAGATAGACCAGAAAGATACCAGAGAGAGAACAGATAGAAATCAGAGAGGGATCAGAGAGAGAGAGAGAGAGCAGACAAGAATAGAGAGAGAGACCAGAGATAAACCAGAGAAGAATAGAGAGAGAGACCAGAAAGAGAGAGAGACTGGAGATAGACCTGAAAAGAATAGAGAGAGAGACTAGAGATAGACCAGAAAGATACCAGAGAGAGACCAGATAGAAATCAGAGAGGGATCAGAGAGAGAGAGCAGACAAGAATAGAGAGAGAGACCAGAGATAAACCAGAGAAGAATAGAGAGCGAGACCAGAAAGAGAGAGAGACTGGAGATAGACCTGAAAAGAATAGAGAGAGAGACTAGAGATAGACCAGAAAGATACCAGAGAGAGACCAGATAGAAATCAGAGAGGGATCAGAGAGAGAGAGAGAGCAGACAAGAATAGAGATAGAGAGACTGGAGATAGACCAGAGAAGAATAGAGAGAGAGACGAGAAAGAGAGAGGGAATGGAGATAGACCAGAAAAGAATAGAGAGAGAGACCAGAGAGAGAGAGACTAGAGATAGACCAGAGAAGAATAGAGCGAGAGACCAGAAAGAGAGAGGGACTGGAGATAGACCAGAATAGAATGGAGAGAGAGACCAGAGAGAGAGACTAGAGATAGACCAGAAAGATACCTGAGAGAGACCAGGGAGAAATCAGAGAGATACATGAAAATAAAAGAGAGAGAGCGACCTGAGATGGGTCAGAAAGAGAGACCAGAGAAACTAGAGAAAGTAAGTAATTGATTAAGGTTTATTTTATATAACGTATTTTTACAGACCAAGGTCACCCAAAGTTACAATGTTCAGAGTTCAGATATTTTTCCAATCACTCCACACCCGGTGAAGACGGAAGCAAGATGCCGACCACACCGGACCATCAAAACCTCATCCATTCACTCCGGAGCACCCGAAGGAAACAGCGGACATGGGGAGAACATGCAAACTCCGCTCAGAAAGGCCCTCCTTGCTGAAAAGTGACAGAGCTAACCACTCTGCCACCGTGCCGCCCAAAGAAAGAGCTGAGTGAGAACAAAGAGAGAGACAAGACGGAACAAAACGTGGCATAACTACAGTATATTTACTCAGCAGAAGTTGGCTGGATGACGTCGTGACCTTATATTTATAATCTCAAAGACTACTTAATGTTAGAGGAAGAAGCAACAGAACATGATGTGGATTTTTCGGGTCAGCGCTGAAAAATTAAAGTCATAAACAGAAGGACTTCATCCGTCTGTGTTTTACATTTATCCAAAGCAAACACCTCCTTTAAAATAAAAATCTACTTATAATTCCTGATGCGCCTCTTTGCCTTCACTTTCCTTCTGCAGCACCGTTGCACATTGCGCGCAGGTTAAGCAGCCGCGTACATTAGCATGCAACATCTTCAGCCCGAGGGCACGTGTTCGCCGCAGACACCTCAAATTTGTAAGGTTGAGAAAAGTCTTCCGCTCCGGACCTATTACCGACACGGCGCTGGTGGATGCGTCTCGCTCTAGACTGGAATAAAAAGTTAAATATTATTGCGTCTGTGCCTCTGTGACCCGCGCACGCTCTCTCTCTCCCCCCCCCCCGCGGGCGCACTCTGGCGGTCTGCTCCTGGCGCGACCTGACATCCGTGAGTACGTAAATGTGATTTAGCGAGCCCTGTGCGCGCGGTGTTAGCGAAGGCGTAAAAAAGCGGCGTCGCCTCGAATCAAGAGAGGTGGGAAAGGGGAGAGAGGGAGAGAGGGCGGGAGGCTGAGGCTGAGGCTGAGGCTGAGGCTGAGGCTGCGGGAGGATATGGGCGAGGATTTGGGCAGGTGAAGTGGGAAGAACTCAATGTATTTGTGTATCGTCCTGAGAATCGCAGCAGCGGCAGTCTCTGGGGACTTTACAAAGTTGTGGATTTACAAGCAACGGATCAGAGAATCAAACGGTTCGAACACAGCAAATGCATTAATAACAAACTTGTTGGAGGTGTTGGTCCACAGAAAGCGGGATGACCACTGTCCAGAAACCCAAAGATGTATTTTCTGTCTGTCTGTCTGTCTGTATGTGTGTATGTATGTGTGTATGTATGTGTGTATGTATGTATGTATGTATGTGTGTCTGTCTGTATGTCTGTATGTATGTGTGTATGTATGTTTGTGTGTATGTATGTGTGTCTGTATGTATGTATGTATGTATTTATTTATTTATTTGATAAATAAATGCACATTAATAAACATCAGTATAAAACAAATGTAAATATGCCGGATTATAGCTACAAAGCTAGTTTTCATCCGTAGTCCCTAGGCAGGAAAATACATAACGAAATACAATACAATAAAATACAAAATAACACTATAATACAACTAGCACAGAGAATAGTTCAGAGTCTAGTGGTCACATGACTGATTTCTCTTAATCCATTGTTTGATTTGAGTTTTAAAGGTGACCAGTGTAGGACTCTCCCGTAAGTGCAGAGGGAGACTGTTCCAGATGTTCATGGCCCTCACAGAGAGAGTGTTCTGTCCAAATGTAGTTTTTCTGAAGGGGACCTCACAGTCTCCTCTGGAGGAGGCCCTAGTCCTCAGGCCACTTGAAGTCCTAGGTTTGAATAGGGCCGATACAGGAGGTGGGGCTAGTCCATGTAGCGCTTTGTAGATGAA